AAGCCCAGGCACCTCCTCTGCGGCCCCTTCCCTGCCCCTCTACTCCAGACCCGCTCTGTTCCCACATCGGACACTGTGCTGCAGCTTCTGAGCTGCCTTCCACACGGACACGCGCTAGCTTTTCCCTGACCTTGGATCCGTAACGCCCCTGCGCCGGGCACACGGCAGCCTCTCCCTAGACGGCTGTTAGACGCCTTACACACGCAGGTTCCCGTAGCAGCTCTCTACCAGATACCACAGTGCGTCTGCAACATCTTCTGTCTCAACAGCTACTCCTGATGCACTTACCTCACTGCTCCTCTAGATGCTCGCTCTAGCTTTAATACAGCTGGTCACTTCGAACTATTGTTACTGTGAAATCAAGTTCATATCTTATGGCAAGACAAGAACAATTCAAACATAAGCACATCTGCTCTGCCCTCTGGCCCTGCTCTCCCCCTTACCGTGCAGGGCGTATCTGCACTTTACATCGACCAAACCTCCGTCGGCAGGAACACCTGCTCAGCCACGAAGAGCAGTGTTCTCCCAGCACCAACGAGACAGCGCCTTAAAGATAACCCTCCTTCTTGATGGGGCCACGATGACGCTCAGACGTGGCTTGTGTGACCTGTCAATAAGACGTCATTTCGCGTACAGCCTTGTGTCTCAAGAACTTATGCTACTGTGCTGTGACCTCTAACGGGAGGAACAGTTCTTGGAGCTCGCTGAGATGTTCTTCCGGGTTATAATCCTCAAATCTGGCTCAAATAAAATTCTCCGCTTCTTTCTGAGATCAACTGACTAATTTTTGTCGACATCATCAACTGAAGTCACGGTCTGAGGTTTCTGTCTGCCGCTCATCTGCATCCTGAGCATCTAGACCCTGCCCCGGGAGCTCTCCCTCGTGGTGCCTCTCCCTCTCCAGCGTTCACAGTGTTCTGTGTGAGTTTGTCTCTGGTGGGGACTGTTGTACAGAAATCCCTTGGACCCCAGGTTGAAGATGTGTTTATCTTCAAGGTATCTTTGAATTTGTTTGTGCCATGATGGCCCCAAAATTTTAAGAGTACAGACCTACTTCCTATGTTAAATTCTTGGCTTGGGATTTCCAAACTATATGGGTAGTAAAAATATCCCATAGAAGATTTTTCTGACAACAAAGACTGCTGTATAACACAGGAAACTGTATTCAATATCTTGTAATAACCTATAATGGAGAAGAATCTCAGAAAGAATATATAAACATATTCTTTAAAAAATATATACAGTCTTTTTTTTTTTTTAGGTAAGAAGTGGATTGATTGATTAATTTTTGGGTTGTGTTCGGTTTTCGTTGCTGCACACGGGCTTTCTCTAGTTGCGGCGAGCGGGGCCTACTCTTCGTTGCGGCGCGCGGGCTTCTCATTGTGGTGGCTTCTCTTGTTGTGGAGCACGGGCTCTAGGCACGTGGGCTTCAGTAGCTTTGGCGTGCAGGTTCAGTAGCTGTGGCTCACGGGCTCTAGAGCGCAGGCTCAGTCGTCGTGGCGCACGGGCTCAGCTGCTCCGTGGCATGTGGGATCTTCCTGGACCAGGGCTCAAACCCGTGTCTCCTGCATTGGCAGGCGGATTCTTAACCACCGTGCCACCAGGGAAGTCCCTATATATATTCTTAAGAAAAAACCCTGCCTGGACTCTTGACACATCTTTGGACCGTGGGCAAAGAACTGGGCAGCCCTTTGAGAATTCCAGCTCTACTCAGGTTCTTGGTGGTAGATCCAAGCCTAGTCAGGTCCACAGCCACGCGTCCTACATCCACACGCGGCACTAAACCAGAGCCTCCAGACTCCAGGTCTCATTCCACCCTGGGCCGCTCAGACCATTCTGGCTTCTGGGGTCTCTTCATTTTTGTCAGCCGGGAGTTCTCTCTCATTCTTCTGAACTGAGCCACCCTTTCGTCTGTTTATAACAGGAACAGGGCCCTGTGGGCCTGTCTGCCGTGCTGCTGGGACCACCTCCTAAACAAACGTTGAGCACGTTCACTCTTTTCCGTCTCCTCCAACGGCTACCTCAGTGCCAGCTACTGGTCTTCTTCATGCTCGCTCCTCTGCAGGGGTCTCCTAACTGGTCACCTCACATCCATTCCTGTCCATTCTTCCCCTGTCCACTTCGTATGTAATACTGCAACCAGAGTTTAAAAGGCAGAATTTTTAAAAATGTAAGTCACATCAACTTTTTCTTTTTTTGTCTCAAATCTTCTACTGACAGATGACCGAGAAATTCTACTCCTAGGTACACACCCAAGAGAAATGAAAACATATGTTCACACAAAAGCTTGTACATGAATGTTTATAATAACATTCTTCAAATAGCTGAAAGGTGGAGACAACCCAAATGTCCCCCACCCTATGAATGGCACACAAAATGCAGTATATCCACGTAACGAAACAGTATCCGGCCATGAAAAGAATAAAGTACTGATGCACGCCACAACACAGATGAATCTTGAAAACACGCCGCTGAGGGAAAGGAGCCAGTCACAGAAGACCACATACTGATTCCATTTGGATGAAATCTCCAGAGCATGCAACTTGACAGAAACAAAAAGTAGATGAGTGGTTGCTTAGGCCTCGGGGGCAGGGGGAGACGGGGTGGCGACAGCTAAAGGCTACGGGGTTTCTTTTTAAGGTGATGAAAATGCTCTAAAATTGACTGTGGTGATGGCTGCGTTGAACTGGTGAATTACATGCTGTGTGAAGCACATCTCTGCAAAGCGGTTCAAAAAACTCTTCCAGTGGCTCACCATGGTTCTCGGCACATAAACCCACAACCTCCTCGCTGGGGGTGAGACTGCATCACGGAGCCCTGCCTGCGCCGCGGGCCTCACCGCAGACGGCTCTGTCCCTCACTCTCTACGCTCCAGCCACCATGTCTCCTTCCAGCTTCTCCGAAGGATCGAGCACCGTGCCCCCCCCACCCCTTGGTGTCTCTGCAGTGGCTCTCTGCTCTGCCTGGAACGCCCGCCCCTCCCCCTCACCTGGCTGTGATTTGCCCTGCAGTTCTCACTCGGGCATCACACCCCGAGGGTGGCTTTCTCTGACCCCACCCCCCCACCCCGAGAAGGCGAATCTACAGTAGGCGGATCTTCTGTAGAGCACCACGCACAGCACCCATCACAAGTGTAATTACCCTCATTCCTGTTCACTAGCGTATACACTTCGCAGCGGCTCAGACCATACTCATGGCTGTGCGGTCTGGGCTTGTCACAGCACTTGGCAACAGCAGGTGCTCAGCAAATTCTGGCAGGAATACACGCTGCTACGATCAAGTGACTGAGCCCAACAGCTCCTTATCTAATACCCTCCCAGCTATTTATCCTGTGCCAGCTGTTTATTATCTAATAATTATTATTTATCTAACGAATATCTATACCTATTTTGCGCCATCCCTAAAGTGCACTCATCTTGATATACCACATTCATATTACAATTCATTAATATCTTGACCTAATTCTTTTATTCTTACATTTGCTGCTCCTTGAGGAAATACATCCTAGTTCTATAAAACATGTGGCACACGGCTGGTACTCAGTAAATATTTGTGGCTTGAATAAAACTTCTAAAACAAAAATCACAATCTGTAACAGGTTACTGATCACAGGTTATAAAATTCCCAGAAGACAGTAATCGTTTCTCTAGATTTCTCTAAATAATGGTTCATGCAACTAAGTATTTAATAATGCAGTTTGATAAAGAACCTGGTTTACGCATCCTTCCAGGGACCATGATCTTAATGATGAATTTAACTCATTTCACTTGTCTCAGCTCAGAAGGAGTTTTTGAAGGGAGTGTTTTTCCCCAGCTAATGAAAGATTGCTTTCGCATTTAGTTTCTAGATGAAACTAACAGTATCTAAGTAACGTCTGAGCTATGAAATACACAGACATTAAATATTGAAGATTGATTTATTAAAACTTTCCTGGCTGTAAGCCTATTAAAAGATGACAACTGTTAGCTCTGCAATCTCTTAGCCCAGAAAATGGAATTTCTTCAAGTTTTACGTAAAGAAATGAAAAAAGAAAGGAAGGAAAGGAAGAAAAACACTCTTTTTCAACTTAACATCTTCCTTCTGTTTCTTCTCGAGATGCATGTCTTAGAGCTATCTTTATAATAAAGCGAACGTCTAAAATGTTTAACTCATTGTACCTTGTAGCTGAAACGACACGCTGCCTTGTTACACATATAGACACTCGGAAATATACACCTCCTTCCTTTGGATATTCAAAATAAAATGAAGTCAAAGTGAAATCTAAATTTTGGTAAGATTTGACCTCTTTTTCTAGTCTTAAAAAAGGGATAATTATGGCTTCAGTCTTTATGTAGATCTGAAACTCCCAAATGGAATGCATTCTATTTTTACCACTTCTTCTAGTGGAAGAAAATGGCCTGCTCTCCTTGGTCACACCTTCCATGGTCACGCTCAGAAGGTTCTCTTAGCTTCTGCCTTAGATCTCTCTGAGGTCCGCTCACGGCTGCTCCCACCATCCCTCCGAGGAGCCTGCAGAACAGTTGGCCACCGTCCCTCTACAGTATCATCATGTACCATCCACTTCCTTTTCTGGTATTCGTCTCCAATTCATCAAAACTGCACATCCTAGCTCCGTTTCTCTGAGCCTTTTATCATACCACTGCTCTTCTCTGCTGCCAGCAGTCGTCGTGGACCACCAGAGCCAAACCAAAGACGCTTCTCTCTGCTCAGCTGCTCCGTCACAAAAGGGGGAAACAGTGCCTGACAGCCATCTCTCTCGTAAGACAAAAAGAAAGAAGAAATGCCCACAGATCCATAACAGAAGAAGTACCTACGTTAAATAATCAGAAAGAATTAAGATCTCCACCAAAAATCTCCCAGAGGCAAAAGAGAAAACCCAAGCTGTAACATGAAGACTCGTTTTCACAGAAGTATGTGCGGCTGGGGAAAACACTTCACGCCCACCCCGCTACCTACTACCTCAAAGCAGAACCCCACAGGTGACATCAGTCGTAACACACCTCCTCCTCTCCCTGGCTTCCACAGAGGAGTCCGTTCCAGGAATGGAGAGCAGAGCGGCAGCTGTAACCCCATTGGCAGTGCTAGGTGGGGGGCGATTTGTGATCACACAGAGCGGGGTGCCGCAAGAGACACCGTCTACCGTTCTCTCCGCTGCGGAGTCAGCCTGGGACTTGTAAGGAGGCCTGAAATCAAAAGGACACAAGCAGAAAGAGAACGGTCAGGCACGCACACGACAACGCAGTGGTAGAGACAGAGCTTCGAGGTGGGTTTACCCAGAGAATCTTCTCGCTCAGAATTTGTCTGGGGTTGGTCTGCTTTCTTAATTCTGAGCTCTTAAATCTTAGAACACTGATTACGCTTTCCGTCTGATATCTTCTGCCCAAGCAGTTATGTTTTACGGAAAATATTTTTTACTTGAGATTAGAAAAAAATTGTTTTTTGATTAGCTATGGCACAAGGCAAGATAGTGACACATGCGAGAGAGCTCTGAATGAGTCCTGAGCACCATCTGGTCTCCACACACACACAACAGACACTGAAGTCACTTACGATCACGTCACTGCCCTTCAGTCCCGGGCAGTGAGTGCCTGCGGTGGCCTCACAGCGGACGGCCGTCCTCCTGGATCACCCAGACACACTCGACAGACACTCCGCAACCTCACCTAGCTTAGCAACTGCTCTCTTTCCACGGAACCAAATGCCTGATTGTCCGTATTCGTAACTGCAGACAGGAGAGACTGAAACCAAAACTAACAGGATTCTACACGCAACCTTAACTACAGACTTTCCAACAGCAAGCTGTACAATTACATTCATTTACATGAAAACAAGACCTTTGTTTCTTAACAAAGAGTTGAGATCAACCATTGGCTTTCCACCCAAAAAGCTATCATTTGTGATGTCACAGCTTGTTGCTGGGGTAACAGAGATCCAAAATTGATACTCACAAAGATGGAGAAAGAAATGAAAATAATGCATGCTAAAAATCTGGTTTTTGCACCTACTTAGAATTACCAGAATGCTTATAAGTAGCTATAAGCTCATTTTCAAATAATCACATTATCATAATAAGCTTGAAAGAATTAATCAGATCATAAAAACCTAAATATGGTACCTAGATGCCAGTATAAAATTAGAACAGTTTTGAAGTGGTATCTAAAAAATACAAGCCGCTTCTCCAGAAGCAATTAATAGCTCAGAAAAAAGGTGAAATTTCGCATTCATTTTTTAATTTAAAAAATGAAGGCAAATAATTCCTCGGACTTACAAGATGTATGAGCCTATAGGAAGCACTAATAAAATCAGCCAGGAACAAAGCTATAAACTCGTTACACTTATCGAAACCTTACATGGAATTCCTTTTAGCTTAATAACATGCTTGGGTCTCTGCAATTTCTGGTGCTGGAGAAATGCCAAGGATTTTATGTGTCAAATTACAGAGCAGGATTCTTACTATTACCGTGAAATATATAATTTTACAAGGAGGTTGTTAGGATCCGAACAGAAGAAGCTCCAGAGCAGGGATCGGAGGCTCTGGAACCACCTGGGGCCGAGTGTAACCTCTCCGACCTCTTCCCTGTAAAGTGGGGATAATGCTGCCTTGAAGTGCAGGGATCTTGTGATGGTTAAATCAAATGTCTGTGGAACACTCAGTATAGTACCCACAATAAACGATAAACTCAGTGGAAAGAAAATAGTGAAAAAGAAAAGAGCCCCCAAACGCACAAATCTAGGCTCCAATCCTGCCGTGGTTGTTCCTTCCTGGCCGAGTGACCTCGGGCAGATCATTACATTTTTGGTCTCAGCTTCCTCATCCATAAAATGAGGATAATGTTCCATACACTGGAGGGCTCTTCAGGACTATACGTAACACAGCCAGCTGCCTCACCCATGCTCATGTTCCTTTCCCTCCTTACTAACAGGACCCTATCATTCAAGGCATCGATGCGCCTAGCTAAAAATCCACACTTTTCAAAGTCTCCCGGGTCGCTAGAGGTGGCCAGGGAGACACGAGCAGAAGATCAGTGCGTCTGGGGAAATTCTCAGTTCGGAGGCATTCCCTCTTCGCATACTTCCCCCTTTCCTCCTCCTCCCTGCCTAGAATACAGCCATGATGGCTAGAACGCTAGCAGCTATTTTGGACCATTAGGCAACCCATGGAAATGGGAGCCACGATCTAAACATTGTGAAGCGGAAAGGCAGAAGGAACACAGACCCTTCGGTGGCTCTGGAGCTATGTGCCAGCACTGCCTATTTCTGGACTGTCTTAACTGAGAGAAAAAAAATAAACCTTTAAAACAAACCTAGTCAGTATTATTTGGATACACTGTTACGTGTGAGTAAAGCAAGTCCTGATGTAATTCTGTACGGTACGAGCCCCATGCCTGGCACACGCTGGGGTTCAACAAAGGGTGGCCGTTACCATTCTCTCCCAGGCCTCGTTCCGAATTAATCAGTAACCTCTCTGTGCTTCAGCGTCTCCACCTGTGGGGCTAACGTTAACCATGCCCGTGCAGACGGATTGTCATGGGCTAGTAAATGTACGAATAATCATACAGTATTGTTAGAAGCAGCCCGTCATAAGCCACCCCACCCGGCCAAACAAATGAGCCCCACTTTTGTCAGGAAAAGAAACCCAGCGACCAGTCGGGCACCACCACCAGCCGTGTCCTTGCTGCTACACTGGCCTCGATGACATTTTTCATTTTCTTTGTGTCAGCTGTAGAAACAAGACCCAGTGGAGGAGCCCCTGTGCTGCACCCAAAGGAAAATATCTCTGACCACATTCACAACCACAGCTGAAGTTCTGCCCCAGGTTCACATGACACTCTGCCCGTGCCACCCCTCGGATGAGCTAGAGACCAAGAAGGTGTCAGCCGGCAACAGAGTGGAGACAAACACACATCTCCTCCTTCCCACAGCGGGTGCCGCAAAACACGCACTGCTGGAAATTCCCAGAAGGGGCTGCAGGAGGCTTCCGGGACAAGAATTAGCGTCCCTTTCGATTTGGGTTGAATGCCATCTTCCAAAAAGAGTAAACAGAAGAGAGCCCTCCTGATACTTCCTGGGAAATTAGTATAAATGACATGTGGGCTGTTTGTAACACGCGATTTAGCACAGTAGCCAGGCCCTTACGTTGTAACCCAGCTGGGAGAGCTACCAGGAGGCAAGGCCTAAGCATGCCCTACGGTTACCTGACGAGCAGCGGCTGCCTGGCCGACACAGGTCAGAGCAAAAGCGTCCTCACTGACTCAGGGACACTCTCCAGGAGTCCGGAGTCTCCTGGCTGGAGCCCCCAGATGTGACTCCAGCGGCCCCCAGCAGCCTTACCTGCGTGGTGCACAGATGCAGCAGTGTCTGCACTGAGTGGAGCGGGGGAGCAGGCGGCGGGCTGCCACCTGCCGCCCCAGAGCTGGAGGAACCAATGGTAATGAGTGAGGCAGCAGGAGGTGGGTTGTGATTGGCTGAGAGGTAGGGGCTTGAGGGGCCACTACGTCCACCACAGGACGCACTGCAAAACAGCACACGGTCACTTCCTTCAGGACACGCTGCTCGCCCCCCGCCCAGCACCACCTCCCCACCCAGACTACGCGCTTAAAGGAGGTGGATGGAGAGAGGGCACGACAGCTGGGAAGCGGAGGGGCCCAGCCCAGCTTGAGCGGGGCCCCAGGCAGCACGCAGGCCTCTGACCCCACAGAGGGAAGGCGCGGGGAGGAGGAGAGATGAAGAGCAACAGGAAGGAGGGAGCGGAGCGCACGGGTGGAGTGGGGCTGGGGGAGGGGAAGACGGGCGGCAGAGGCAGCGCGCTGGAAAGAAGAACTCCAACACCCCCAACAAAGTCACGCAACCCCAGCTGCTTCCCAGAGACAGAAGCAACACTGCGAAAGCTAAAGTGAGCCCGAGAATCTGCAGAGGGTTTGGAGCAGAGACTCAGGATTAAAGAGTAGAGAAGAGGACAGAGGCCAAAACGCCTTGGGAGGATTTCAAGGTTTAGGTCTAGCAAGTAATACTGTACAGGCAACAGAGGACAGCTTTCCCCTGTCTCAGCTGAAGACAGGTAGGAACCATCTCAACTGCGGCAAAAAATTATTTGGATTAGAATTTTTTAAAAAACTTTTTGACTATAATAGTAATGAAACACTTGAGGCGGGGGTGACCCAAAAAAGCCAGGAAGACTTCTTCGACAAAAGATGCATTTTACTGGGCTGTTATAAAAGGAATTTCTGCCTAAAAAATAAGGAGACTGAAAATGGAAAGTTTCTGAGGTTTGGCATAGTCCAAGAATGACAAATGTCTATCCACACTTTCTGTTTGAAACAGTGATTGTATATGATTCTTTCCTTGTGAAAGATCATAAAATAAGATTTGTAAAATAAAAAAGTGCTTTAGGATTACAGAAGAAAAGCTTTGGAAGTCCAAGGTATAGAGCAAGCTGTAGAAATTTTCTCAAACATGCTCACATAATTAAGCACGCTTCCCACCCTAAAGAGAAGTGTCCCCTCTCCTCTGTTCACCATGATTATGCCAAACGACATCTATGAAACCAAACACTACTCACTCCATCCATCTGCTGATGACTTGGATCCAGAAAGCCACCAACCCTACCACAAAATAACACCAGGCCTGAACATTAAAGATGAAGATGAAGATGCCCCCTTCATCTTTCCTAAGTTCTAGAACATTCTTTTCTTAGAGAAGTTTTCTTGGTCCTGGTTTCAGCTTGGATCCAGCTATAAGGAGTAATAAGTTATCTATTCAGACTAAGGCCTCACCCTCGAAGACAAACAGGCAACAGCCTCATTAAAGCCAAAAACACTGAGGCTGTAGGACGAAGCTTCAGTGGCATCAATGAATTGTACTTGCTCCCTTTCAAAGTTGAGCCCTCTCTTACAGGACGTATCTGCAGAACTGAAGGGCGTTAAAAGGTGACAGTGGCTGTTTGATTTATGGCACAGTCCCCACATTCCAACATTAACTGGTTGACGAGATTATTCCTATCAAGTGAAAATAGGTTTTGATCCCAAACACACAGTCTGTGGCCAAAGCCTGTGCCTAGGGTAGCCAAGAATCACCTAAAAACCTACTGATGAAAGCTGTGGCATGATGAGGCAGTTGGAGGGGTGTGGTTGAGAGAGTACAAGTGAAGAAAGAACTCAGAGGAAGCAATGAGAACCAGATTCCTCCACATCAGCAGCGAAGTTCAAATGGAAATATTAATTGAGTGCGTCTTGTAGCTTAATGGCTCTGGCAAAGGTGCCTTGCTTGCTGGCTGGTACATGGCAAAGAAGATAACTGCAGAAAGGGGTATACAGATGAGAAAAGGGGAAGGAAACCCAGGTACCTTCTCTGCACCAGACTTGCGAGTTTCATATCTTGATGGATCTGAGGGCCATTAAAGTCATAAGAAAAAAAAAAACAACTCAAGTCCCTAAATTAACAGGCTTCAATATGAAATTTTTTTTTAATGCAATTAACATCTGTCCCCATCCTGCCCCCGCTACACCCTACAGGCCCCTCCCTGCCTCCCCCCAAAGCGTGACTTGAGCTGAGGAAGGAGAGCTGGCTACCGGGCAAGGGCGACTTAAATTCAGTCCTGCTCAGAGTCTACCCAAAGTCATATCTGGCTGAAGATTTTACAGGACTGAAAGGACGGAGTATATATTCAGATCTGTCTGTGGGGAGAACTTGGAATTAGCTTACTCTGATTCAGTTAGGGAAAGAAATTAACTTTGATTTAAAATTACTTAAGATGTCACTCCCAAAAAATCTAAAAGCAATTCAGTTCTTGATTCGTTTCTGTCGTGCTAACTGGGTATAAAAAGGCATGCAATTTACTGCCCATCTGCCCACGGCCAGAGTGAAGGAAACCACCTCCCAGCCTTGGAGCCTGGTACCTTTTCAGGTAGGTTGTCACGTAGGTGGAAGGGGCGGCCATCTGCAGAGATTCGCTCCCCTCCGCTCCGTCCCTCCGCAGCTGGCGGGCGGGGGGGCCACTCCGCACCAGGTGAGCAGCCGACTCTCTGTGGATGCAGGACGGACACAAAACAAAACACTGGCCCCGCCCTCTGTCCAGGGCACGGCATAAACTGGGAGGGGGGGCCGGGCAGGCGGAGCGCATGTGGCTGCAGAGACAGCAATGGGGCCCTTTTCAAGAGATAGGTGTTCATACACCTGTCTCCCCGCACAGACGGGGGACTGGTTAAGGCTTCGTGTCTGCCTCCTTTTAGCAACTTCAAAGCCAACCCATCTCAGTAGGTACCAACTGCTTGTGGTGCAGATCTGGAGCCCTTTCGTAAGGAGGGGCCACTTCGTTCCTCAGTTAGAAAGCCTGGCAGGGCCGCTCAAAGTAAGCAGAGGCGGGACGGGGGAGGCAGAGAGGACGTGCGCGCAAGTGAAGGAGCCTCCTCAGCTTCCTACACGGGCGACGGCCAGGAGCGGCCCTGGCACCTCTTCCTAACCACAGCTGGTATACCCGGGGAGGTCCCCCAGGGCAGTCCTTCCGAAGCTTTAACGCACCTTTCAACCACTGAGGGGACTTTGTGCAAGCGCCCATCTACTTCAGCAGGTCTGGGCGGGACTGAGACTCTGCATTGCTAACGGGCTTCCAGTGGCCCCGGTGCTGCTGGCTGGAGGACCGCACCTTGAGAAGCAAGGCTCTAGCCCAGGCTCTGCTCTGAGATGCAGCGATACCTCAACATTCCCATATTCATTTTAACTGATGAGGAAGACTTTACTTACAAATTAGAAGTTGATCAATTCAATTAAATAACCACATTTTTAGTGTTCCCCAGGGGACAGGCCCTGTCCTGGCACGAGGAGCGCCTGAGCCTCCGGTGGACACAGACCCCACGTGCACAGAGCCAGCTGTGGACTAAAGCGAACCCACACGGGAGGGTCGAGCTGACGGCCCAGCACCGGCAAGGCGCGGACGGAGGGCTAGGGCTCCGGGGTGGGAGGGCAGCCGTGGGGCCCCGGTGCGGAGTACCTGTTCTCCTTCTCCTCCAGGTCGCTGGCGGCGCTCAGCCTCCGCGGCCCCAGTGCGCTGAAAGAGCTTCTGCTTTCTCGCTCCTGTAAAATCAAAACAAGGAACGCACAGGGAAGGCAGAGTTCTGACACAGAGGAAAACATTTTGGGTAAAAAAGCAGAACTTAATATACCTATATAATCTTACTTCCAGATTCAATACCAATTTCAGTTTGAGTGGTATTAAAAAAGGTTAGCATTCAAAGGCTCATTCCCAACTCTCCTCCATTAAAAACCAACATGTAGGGAAATAGTTCTCATGGGAAAAGCCAGGGCCATCAAACAGGAAAGAGCAGCACCAGTCACACCAAGCAGCAGCCCTGCAGAGACAGGGAGCTTCTGAAAAGCCAGACAGCAACTGCACTCTCAGGTTCTTTTCCTCGAAATGCAGCCTCAGGTACAAATGGGCCCCAGAGCTAATCCAGCCCACACACCTCGGGCCCGAGTGTCTCCGGAAACCCAGGACCGAGCGAGGGGTCTGTGGTTAAAGGAGACCCAGCCCCAGAGAGGTGCACCAAGCGAGCCCTGTGAACTCTGGAACCAGAGTGAAGACACAGAAACGTGCTCCTTCTGGATGAACAGTAGATGAGAAGGCAGCCGGGTCATACATCAATTAATGAAAAAATGAGACACTAAAATTTGTTTTTCTAAGTGCTACTCTGCCTGAGCCTCATCAGGACTGAAAGCCCAAGCAAGGAACTCTGCTTCTAAACATAAAAAGAATAAATACTGTTACTGGTTCAGAGGGACCTTTTAGGCCGTATCCAAATCTTCATGCTTCTGACCCACTTTTTTGCCCCAGGTAAGGAGGGTAAGGAAGAATGAGCAGAAGGTATATGCCAAAAGGAAAAGGGGTCTCTTTCTTTCTTGGCCAAGCAAGTAATAGCAAGCAAAGAGCTACATGATTAATCAACGTGCCTGTCTCCTTTTAAAGACTCTGTACTTCCAGAATCAAATTAGGGACTAGAAAATGTTTTCCTTTGTTCCCGAGGTTGCACTGTCACAGAGGGAAACTGCACCTTTTCTCTGGTGTCCAGCACAGTGGAGATGCGGGGGCTGGAGGCCGAGCGGTGGATGGACGCGCCCCGGTCCCGCAGGGCCTCCCTGGACCTGGCCGCCTCGCCCAGCACGTTCTGGCTGCCGGTCTTCCTGAGGCCCAGCCTCCACGAAGACGGAGACTCATCTCTGGGCTCTTCCGGCTTGTTGAAAAGGCCGGAGAACTACGAGGGACGAAGCAAAGGAAAGGAAGGTCCTGTTGGGTCTTTCCGTCCCCAGCTGAGCTCCGTGGGGCGATGTGGGGCGGAGCAGGGAGAAGCACGCGGCAGGCCAGGCCCGCGCAGGGCTCCCTTTCTCTTGGGCCAGAGACAGCCTAAGAAGTTCCCACCTGGCAGAGCTGCTCGAGGAGTACGACAGCAGGCTGAGTGCTGACCCAGGCCTGGTGACACGCCCCCTCCTGTCCGCTGTGTGCCTGGGGACAGGACACCTCACCTCTCCAGGCCTCAACGTGCCCATCTGCAACCCTGGCAAAGAGCTTACCCCTCTTATAACACGTGGACACTGGGAAACACAGGGCAGGCCAAGGTGTCGCTATGTTTCAAGGTCCTGTGATGAGACTGCGGCAAGCTGATGGAAGGTAACATGCACACAGATGCTAAAGGCCACTCCACTCAAATTCTAACTGCTTATTTCAAGACAATGGTTTACTTGACCAAGGGCAGCAGTTCTAAGCATTTCAGATTTCAGCGAGCAGCAAAATTAAAAAAGAAAAAAAAAATGGTACAAATCACAGAGTTGCCAGTTTTTAAATTTTGCCAGAACAGCTTTCAGAAATGGATTACCATTTCCGGTACCATCATTTCATTAAAAAAAAGAGAGAGAGAGAAGTAATTTTAACATTAGAAAAGAAAGCTTCATGGAAAGCTTCCATTGTCCTTAACCATCTCATCCTGCTATAAACCACAGAAAACATCACAGACTAGTGTCAGCCTGAAGACCAGGCTGGGGCACATCTGGTCTACAGACCATTAGCCGTGGGCCTCTTCCTGGGCCGTGGGGGGCTCTGCTAGAAGCGTCGGTCTTTCTCCAGAACCAGGCCACCTCTACCCCCTGGCATAGTGAAAACGCAATAGAAATGTAAAACCATGCTTAGATTTTTCTCTTTTACCCGATCATCTGAATGGATATATTTACATACTCCTTCCAGCTTCAGAGAATCAATCCTGTCAGCTCTTTATAAGCCACCCTGGTTCTGAGGGGAGAAATGTCTTTCCCAGCATTCTTTTAGCAAAGTAGAATAAGTATGGGTGTGCGTTTGTATCTTTTTTAATTTAGGACTTTTCCTCTTAAAAAAGCAGGCGATTTAGTCACGCGCAAAGCAGGGGGAGTGCGCAGGACTGAGACACTGGACGCTCCCAGGAGCCAGCGCGCAGCTGAGCCTCTGCTGCCTCGTCTCCACAAGGACACCAGAATGCCACCTGCACATTCACGAGGCTCTGGGAAGATCAGTAAGTTAGCATCTGCAGAAGTACAGAGCTGTCCAAGAGCTGCACTCCAAAGAGCTCGGGCCCGTTCTCCTCAACATCAATCCCACACGCTGAGGAGCCGCGGCATCACCGGCGAGGAGCCGGCAGCTTCTGAGCGGCCTGGGGAGGCTGCCGGAGGCACTCACGTATTTCAACAAGTGCTTTCAACCTCTGCTCTCCACTCATCATCGACTATAAGGACTTAACTCAGGAAAGTAAAATGGAACACGAGAAGTAAAAAAAGAAGAGCAGTCATCAGAACAATCGAGGCTGGATGCTGGCTATCTTCCCAGCCCAACTGAGCTTCACATACGCTCTCCTCAACTTCAGATACGAAGAAAATAGGCAACTGACAACACTTCCTTGGTCCCAGTTTACTAGGGCCTGTGTCATCTAAACACACTGTAGCCAAATTTGTTTGGTGATGGCTTTATACTTTTTTAAAATATACTGTGGGCAAAGTCATGGACACAAACATTGTGTCCACTCCTCCAAATCCACGTACTGAAGCCATAACCCCCAGTGTGATTATACTTGGAGACCAGGTGGTTGTCTGAGAGCCAGGAAGAGCGCCCTCACCATGAACTGAACCCGCCAGCACCTTGATCTTGGAGTTCCAGCCTCCAGACCGTAAGACATAAGTTTCTATTTAAAGCCACCCTGTTTGTGGTATTTTGTTATGGCAGCTGAGCTGACTAAGGCAGGAATATAAAGATGTGGTACATATATACAACAGAGTATTATTACTCAGCCATAAAAAAGAGTGAAATCATGCCATTTGCAGCAACATGGATGGACCTAGAGAGATTATCATACTAAGTGAAGTGAGTCAGACAGAGAAAGACAAATACCATATGATATCACTCATATGTGGAATCTAAAAAAAAGGATACAAATGAGCTTATTTATGAAACAGAAATAGACTCACAGACATAGAAGACAAACTTATGGTTACCAAAGGGGAAAGGGGGGGGGAAAATTAGGAGTTTGGGATTAACAGATACACACCACTATATACAAAATAGATAAACAACATGGACCTACTGTACCGTACAGCATAGGGAACTCTACTAAGTACTTTGTAATAACCTATAAAGGAAAAAAAATGTGAAAAAAAAAGACATATATGTATGTATAACCAAATCACTTTGCTGTATACCTGAAACTAACCCAACATCGTAAATCAACTATACTCAATTTAAAGAAAAAAAAAAAAAAGCATGAATGTACCTTTAGGGCCTTTCTAACTGTACGTTACTGCAATAGTGGGAAATATCCAAACTAATTCCAAACTACTCACTCTCCTGGCTGAAGAGGTGGAGGAGATGATCTGCGCTGGTGCTGGTGTCTGCTCTGCGGCACTACTCTTGCTTTCAGAGTTGGAACGGTTGACGATGGCTCCCGGCTTTTTATCTGTTATTTAAGACAAGAGAAGCAACAAGTACAAGTATGAGAAACTTATCTGTGTGTATGTGTACTTTTCGGCTAACAGAAAGGGTTTACCCATTATCAAAACAGATCATTAGGGCCATGTAATGCTTGGATTCAAACTACTATGAAACCTCTGGCAACCACTGTCTCTTATAAGAAAACAGACTCAAGTGGAATTCCTGTCTTGACAGGTGCCAATTCTAATCCCCACATGTATAGCTGACACTATATGTCACATATAAAATTCATCAGTAAGTACACAGTAAGAATCTACTCTGTTTGGAGGGTTGGGCAGGAAAAGCCAGAGAAAGTATAAGATAGAACTTGCTTTCTAGGCAGTTACAAAAAGAAGAGCCGTAAGATGTAAAATAATCATGGTAACAACACAAGGTCAAAGACGTCCGGTGCTGAACTGGTTGATTTAAATCAGCAAGTACTCCGGGGGTTCAGAGCAGAGACAGATCGTCTGAGAGAGGGAACGTAGGGAAGACACCGTGGGGGAAGCCGGAGGGCACAGAGCAGCAGGAAGAAGGGCCGGGAAGTCACAACACCCACGTCCGCTGGTCAGGAAAGAGGCAGCCACCAAGTGACAAGGGCTCTTGGGGTCACAACAGGAAATAAAGCCAGAGGGTCGTGTAGGACACTGTGGTGACATAAGCGGGAGGGGTCCCTCACGGGGCGCTGACAGAAGTCCCGTCTGCCTGCATCCAGCGGCTGCTGGGCCTCTGGTCCCTGGACTCCAGAAACACAGCCCCAGGGTAACCCACTCATGAACTACGGGACAGTTTCAAGCCACATCCTAGATGTGGGACACTGGGCAAGTTACTTAGCATATTTGAACTTCTATTTTCTCACTGATAAATCAGGAACTCAAATTCTTGTCTTGTGAGTTGCTGTACAGATTAGAGATAAAATGTTTTAAAATTGCATAACTCAATATTAAGTCCCTAGAAAACAGTTTATTATTATTAACGTCACTGTCTTTGTGGCTACTGTGAATACTCAGAGCAGTCTTTGAATACAGTCGGAACGTCTCTACCCCCAGGAAATGGACCTCACTGCCAAACCTCACTGACACTGTCACAGGCTGACTCCTGGTGAGTCCACACCCTGTGTAGTACCCCTCATACTGACTCCGGGCTTGGCCGTGTGACTTCCTGTGGCCCCTGGGACATCAGCAAACGGGACACAGCAGAGGCCTGGAGAGTGCGTGTGCGCGGAGCTCGCCCCCTCTGATGATGGCTGGAATTCAGCTGCTGTGTGAAGCAGAGGCTGGCCTGCCTGATGACAAGAGACACACGGCCCACTTACCCCAGACGTCCTGGCAAGCCACCAGGAAGGGAGAAGGCCACCCCTCAGCCACGCACCAACTCGCCACACGGACAACAGAGAAGCTGCCCCGGCAGGGCCCTTCCCAAACTACCAACCTGTGACGCTGGGTGCGTACGAAGAGTTGTGCTACCTGCCACTAAGTTTCGGGATGGATTGTTATGCAGCAGTAGATAAGTAACACGTCAAATAAGTAAGAGAAAGGGAAAAACAAATCCAAGTCAAACTGCTTACATTTACCTCAAGATATAATTAACATTCCTTACAACTACGTTTGTATGTAACACACATGGAAACTGTCAGTTTATGAGGCTGTACCTCTGGAGGTTTAAAAAGAGGAGACATGCACTCAACAAGGGCCTGCTCAGTGTGCGCACGCGCGCCAGGCAGCACCTGGAGGTTCAGGCACCACCCACTCCCCACGCCCCCGCCAGGCTGTGCCGAGCACCTGCCCTGCACAAGGCCCGGCGCTGGGCACCAGGAAGGACGCGAAGGTCAGCAGGACACACGCTGTGTCCCAGCGCCCCCGCAGCTCGCTGGTGGGGAGAGCAGAGCAGACGAAGAGGAGAACCGAGGTTAACACGAATGCTAAGTAGTCCAAGCAACACAAAGGCTCCAACCACAGCTACAGGAGTCAGAAGAGGGGAGGAAACCTTGTAGCTGTGACGACAGGGCTTCACAAAGGACGCTGCTTTGAGCCGGGCTCTGAGTCAGGAGTAAAATGTCCACAGACAGAAGTGCGCAGGGAAGCCCACGGCCGCCGCCAGCTTCTGAGACTGACCCGCTGGAGCCTCGGTCTCCTCCTCGCTCCTGCTCGGCCTTCCTGACGCAGAAACATACATCCTCTGGGGCCACCCCTACTCCACCGACTCCATCTCACCTCCCAGACCCCGTATGTAGCTCTTTTCTGACGACCCCTCCCCTGGGGAGATCCTGCCCTTGCCCCCAGCGTGAGCTTTCTGCCCCTGCTACTCCGAGGAGCCCAGATCAAAGTCGGGGGCTCGGGCACTCCGCCCACAGCTGTGAGCCCCAAGTCACCTCACCTGCGGTGTCACTTTCCCGTTCTAAAAAGTGGAGGCAATAATACATCACCTCAGAGTGTGGGTGTGAGGATTAAATAAAAATCTGTTAAGTGTGTCGCAAATTCAAAAGCTGTATATAGAGACTACCCTGGTGGCACAGTGGATAAGACTCTGCACTCCCAATGCAGGGGGTCCAGGTTCAATCCCCGGTCAGGGAACTAGATCCCGCATGCTGCAACTAAGACTTCACATGCCACAGCCCGTGTGCTGCAACTAAGGAGCCCGCCCACCACAACCAAGACATGGCGCAACCAAATAAATAAATAAATAAATAAGCACTGCATAAATGTGAAGCGTTACTATGTTCTGTGAGAACCGTCCCATGTGTAGATGTATTTCTGATATATTCGTGGGAGGAGGTGAGCTCTGTGTCTTTCTATTCCGCCTCCTTGATCTCCACCCTAAAATGTCACAATAAACCCCCAAATTCAATGCAGTGTTTTGGACTAGTGAACACCATTGGCTGCATTTCTCTCTCTCACGTGACATGGGCTTTATTCACGTACACGCCTTCCTATCCCCCTACATCCCCGAGATACATTCAACAAAACGTTCAGTGGATGTGGCTGCCCGTCACGTGCCAGGTGCAGTGCTGAGACCTGGGAGTGACACGCTTGGAATTCCCAGCCCAAGGGCGCTGCAACCGAGAGGAATGAGCAGTGCTGGGGGCCACACGGCGGGGAGAGCACAGGGAGGGGTCCCTCCTCTGCAGGTTCCTGCACAGGAAAAACCTAGAGAAGGACTCTTCAATCTGGCAGACCCTACAGCTTCTGACGGAAATCATGCAATAAACATCTGATGGCCAGGAACAAGTTCTACAACACGAATAACTGTTCAGGGGTAGAACACTCAGGCTTGTCTGGGAACTCCAGCGATCCAGCTTGGATAGCACACATCCGCACTTACAGACAACACTGGAAAGGTCAGCTGGAGCTAGACTATGAGAGGTCTTGAAGGCCGGGCCACAGGGCTTGGGACTTACTCTGCAGGCAGAGTCAGGAAGGTGGTCATGGAAGGTTTCTGAACAGGAGTGCAGCATCATCAAGGGGTGCGGGGTGTTTCACCCCAATAGCAACGTGGAGCTGGGCTGCAGGGGACAAGAGACCTGAGGCCTGGGGACACATCGTGGGTAATTTCAGTAGCCCAGGCAGTGCCCTCCCACTCCGCCAACACCTTGGTAGCTAACACAGTGATCCGGCACAGAACAAGTCTAGATGCTCATTCCAGACAATACTGGAAGCCTAAGACATGTAAGCCCTCAGTACACAATACAAATGTTACAAAGAGGAACACATGCAGATTTTGACAGACACTACACTGGCATTTCCAGAGCCAGCTGTGCCTGCTTAGGAACAGCAATTCAAGACTCAGTGAACAAAAGGTCGTCTCCTCCACTACAGACCTAGCTGGGACCGTCTGTTCTACACAAGCAAAGGGTCTCTAACTTCCTCTGAGAGACGGAGACGCGGACAAAGGCAGTGCTCTCCTGCAACTGAGAGAAACCCCGTCAGTGAAGGCAGACCCACTTTACAAGAGCTGGGGCCCAGCAACCGAAAGAGCTGAGCATCTTCGTGATGGGCAGCCGGCGAGGGCAGAGTCAGAGGGAAACACAGACTTTACTATTGACATAAACTGAATGTGGACTCTTCCCTCTAACTTGGTCCTCTCACTGAAGACACTGCATCTTCTCGTGGACACCAGTCTGAAGAAATAACATGCCGGTGACTGCAGGACATGGGCAGGTGAAATCTGAGTTTATCACGAGCTCCCAGTTACCCACGAGGACTACTCTGCGGCAGGGGAACCTCTACTCAGCAAAGCCCCATGTGTCTCTTTCCTAAGTGTTTGCCTTACTGTGTATCAAAACCCCAGGCTAATGTATAGCCTGGCACTCTGACCATGCCCAGCACCCAACTCTCACCGCTGGGGTTCCTGTCTCGCCATATAACAAACTTAAGGAACTCCATATGATGTATATCATCAATGAGAGTCATAAGGGTAAATATGATTTTGTTCCTTCTTCAATCCCCAAATCAGGAATTGAAGGAGCTCCACATAATGGGAAGGAAAAAGAAAAAGACTTGGAGGTTCTGTTTAGGGAATTGCTTCCACCTGAGGGCCCTGGCATCACCTGCCTTGTGACAAGCAGTGACCCCCCGTGCTCTGCAGACAGAGGGTCTCGGCATCACCCGCCTCCTTCTCGGTTTCTGACTCAGAAGCCTCATCTTCACCTTCGTCCTCGTCTGAGCTGGAGCTGCTGGATTCTTTGTTTTCATCCTCCATTTCTTGGGGCTTCGGTGCCTCCTCCTCATAGAGCATCTTCTCTTTGCTAAATTAAAGACGACAATTTGAGCGCAATTCAGAAAGGACACACCATTTCCTACGCTCACTGGGGATCCGGTATGAGAAGGACAAGCCTATGAAGCTCTGTGTGGAAGCAGTAAAAGAGATATATTCAAATCCTCCTTTACATCCGTATTCTTCTGAATCCTGGGTTTTCTGCTGACTAAGGGTTGGTATTGGATTTGAGAGTGTGATAGGAGAAAATCCAGCCCGTTTAACACACAGGAACAGGAGGGCTATGCATCTTCATGATGAGTGAGCAGGTAAATATTTTTAAAAATCATTTAAAAAATGTTTACTGAGTGCTTCTCACACGCCAGGACCATGCCAGGCGACAGTATGGTGTAAACAGAACAGACACGGCCCCTGACCTCAGGCCTTCTAGGTAGGGAAGCAGTTGGGACTAAGAACCCTTCAGCTGGGAAAAAAGCAATGCACACAGTCTCCGTTAATTCACAAATTTAAAACACGCCCACCCACTCTCAGTGTCCCCCCCCACAAGTCAATGCCACTCACCTCCTTGCCCCTCAAACATTCCCACGTGTTTAAAGATCATTTGGCTACAAACACGGGGTCTCTTCACTGGATAAATTCTCGAGCTAAACGTGTCACACTCAGCAGGGCTCATCACATTTCTCAAACCCAAATATCTTACTTCTTAAAGAGTCTACCGTGCAACTTGCTGTTCAGATCCGACTCAATGAGCTTATTCCGTGTCTCTTTTTCACTTCGAAGCTGGAAATTGAGAAAACAGAAAAAAGGGAAGACGTTGACTATTGGTAAAAAATCAGCAGCCACGAGAAAAACTAAAATGGCCCTGTTACTGGACCAACACCAAAGGGGGGGGAGAGGACTGGGGAGAAGGGAGACACATCAGCTGTGTGCTGCGTCTCCTTGGAATATAATGACAGAGGAAGATCCTCATTCAATAAGAGGAAATCCACGGCGTTAGAGCTTCAATGAAAACTGCCCCATCAAATATCCAAACCCAATCGTCCCAAAAAACCTAGGTGTAAAGGATAAAACGCCAGAAGTACCTCTGAAAGAACTCTCCATCATCCGTATACTGAATTACGTTGGCAACGGTTCTAAAGAAGAAGCAGGTGCCAAATGGGAAATAAGCCCTTGGAAAAAACTGTCCGGTACTTGCTCTAGACAAAATGTACTTAAATCCCTGGACCCCAAAGTTATGCAGGGGGCAAAGGCAGGCACCATTCCCGGTAGCATAGAAATGTTATTTAGTGAGGATATTACTCATGTACAAAGACCGAACCATGCTGGGTAAAGGATACACGAGAACTCTCTACTATTTCCACAACGTCTTTGTAAGCTTCCAAATTATTTCAGAATAAAAAATTTAAAAAACAACAAACACCTAACCATGCAAATGATCATCTTATATTAGGAAGGCTGCTGCTGCTCAGAAATCGGTTCCAGCTGCTCATCAGAGGGGACAACTGAACCGCAAGCTGCGTCTGCGCTCTGGGTCTGCAGCTTTCCCAGCCAGCCCTGAAGAAATGAGCGTCTCCACTTCCCAGTCCAGACGGTGCTGAGCACAGGGGAGGGCAGGGCAGCTGATCTGTCCCGTTACTGAATCACACGGGTCTTTCATTCAGAACTGCTCTCAGCTTCTCACATTCTCCTGAACTCGAGCTCATGTGCCCTGAGCCACAGCCCACGCAAAGGAAAACACAAGGAAAGCTAGCGATTTTTTTCTGTCCTACTCTGCTTAAACAGGAGATTCTCAAGCCCCTAATGTGACTGACTTTATCCTCCTCACCTAACTCCTCCTCTCTCTTTCAGGTAGAGTGTGACTCACTCCCTGTTCACTCGAGTATTGGCAGGGTTTTCCACCCTGCAGTCTGGACGTGGGTACCATGCTTACATGGTCCTCCTGTGCTGCACGAAGCAGAAGGGCACAGACAACCAAACCATCAAAGATCTAGAAGAAGAGGGAGAAGAGGACTGAATTTTGGATATCTGATGAACAGAATAAATCTGAATCACTGACCAAGCACTGTCCAATGCCAAATGTTTTCGTTTTTGTGGGTTTGTTTGCTTTTTAAGAAATATATCCCTCCCTGTAATCAATTTTCTTTCAACAAAGACGTCCTTTCAGTCAATAAGGAAAAGTTATGAGGTGTCCTCTACCCCTATTTGCAAAAACTTCTGACTTGAACACACCACGCTCATTTTCTAGAGCTCGAGGGTAACTAGAGTCGTTGTCGCCATCATGTTTGCCTTTCAGCTGCTTGAAGGCTCTAAGATAATGAGGAGATAACAAGCGAACTTTAGCAACAACAGTTTCTGGGATATTTTCTTCTAACAGACTCTGCGGATATTCCTGGAGGGAACCACTGCCATTGCTGGAATGCAGGGACGTCCAACTCCACTCTCAGCGGACAAACTACAGCTGGTGTGGCCTGTGGCGTGGACTGTCCACCCAGACTCACCACGCTCTGCTTCTTCTGCAGCATCTCCAGGTGCTCCACGAGGCCCTCGTCAGCCACATCAAACGGCGTCTGGCCCTGGCAGAGAAAAGGGGCGCCATGACCAATCGGAAGCAGACGCAGCGGTCACGGGACTTTATCAGAGAACTAGTGGATGTCCACTGTATGCCTCTGACTCCAGTGACAGCTGCTTCACTGACTAGTCTACTCGACGCCGTGGTAATACCTTCATCTATCCCAGAGGAAACACAACAAGAAACAGCAAACCCTAAAATACACGGCTTTATATTTTGTAAAGCTGTATGGAGGAAATCACCACATTATTTCTAATGTTTATTGCCTCTTGGCAAATGATCAACTGAAATCTCTACTTGTACCTATTCTAAAATGCTCTTAATTGCTATGATAAATTCAACAAAGGGCTCTTAGAAGCCTCAGAAGGAGGTCCAGGGCACGGGTGCACTAAAGACTAAGTCCCAGGAATCATCTCCCTGTAAGTGAGAGAAGGGTTGTCTCTTAGGAAACAGCACAGTTAAGGACCCTAACCCATAATGCGAGAATGAACCCTGGGTCAGGAGAGATGGGAGGTAGATAAGAACATCTACTAAGTAAAACGCCATGTCTCTGGATTCCTAGAAAACCAGCAGATATAGGGATAAGTTGCAGGACTTCTGTATCGCTTCAAGCGCGGCTGAAGAAGACTTTCAGCCAAACTGCAGGATCTCATCATTACAACGTTTTTTAACAACTGGATGTGACTAGGGCTCAGCTATTAAGTCTTTGAATTAAAACCAAAGTATTTCATAGTTCACCACAGATAGTGGCCTTGGGCTTCCCCACTGCTCATTTCTGCTAAGGGGAAAATTCTTTTTTTTTTTTTTTCCTGTGTGTTTGCTTTAGGGGCTTCAGCATAAACAGAAGCAGCAGAGCGGCTCAGTGGAGCTTTATGTTACAAAGCCAACGTATCTGCGTGGATAACGGGGCAGGAAGAAGAACTACAGCTACCAGGGATACCCAAGGCTGGACAGCAAGCCTGGTCACTTAGCAGGGACTTGAAGCCTTTTGTTCCCGAGCCCCGATAGAGGGTGACGCTCACTAACCAGTTTGCTCCTGACGTCCATGTCACAGAGGGCTTCTGCCAGGATGGAGCACGCCTCCTTCACCCCCCAGTGTGCGGCGGCATGGAGCGGGGTCCAGCCGTCGCGGTCCTGGACATTGAGCTCATAGCCAGCCTGAGTCAAAAGTCTGAGGAGAAACCCCAAACCAGCCATTACGTGCTCGGTGGCAGAGCTCTGTGCCACACCAGCGGCCACCCAGCTGGCGTTTCAGGCCCTGCCCTGCGCCGCCACCCGGCCGCTACGGCCCAGCTTGGCGCCAGCTACTGCCTGAGAGCCGCCACGGGTAAGCTTCAACCACCCTCGGCCAGAGGCCGCGGTGCTCCGTGGCACACCCATGTCCCACCACGCAGGCACCTGAGGCCAGCCAGCGCCTAGCTCAGCTCCGTCAGGGGGTGCTGTCAGCTTTCCAGCGCAGGAAGCGGCTGTCGGACACCTGATTCTCTCACTCTCTCACTAACTCTCTGGCTGGTCTTCCCCGGACACCACGCTCACACCTCCGACTCCACGGGAGTACGTGCAGGGGCCGCTCGCTAACGCTAAGGCTACAGCCCAGCTGTGTGCGTGGAGGACAGCGTGACTCTTGAGGCCCTGGCAGCACCGGGTGGACACAGGCAGCCTACATCGTGGGACTCCAGACGCCGTCCAAGAAACGAGCACGTGAACATGCTGCCAGGCAGAAAGGTGCACCGACACTCACCACACAGACTAGGAAGCTCGTACCGGGTGGAACACGGGGCAGTGAGAGCATCTGGCGACAAGACACATGCGGTGCCACCAGCAGCCCAGGTACTGGGCAAGCCCAGGAGCAGAGCCACACAAAGCGGGGAAGGATGTAAAGGGAAAGGGGAACAGGCAGAGAAGAGCCCAGATTCCTCGTGTACGTGTGACCTCCTACTCCAGCTGGATGCTGCACACTCGAGACCTGTGTCATTAATCTAACGAGTCAAAGAGGACCAAAAGGATGGCGAGTCTGCTCTGTGCTGTGTGTCACCAGAAGGCGAGGTGCCAGGGGTGCTAACGATGAACTGTGGAGCTGGAGGCGGCCACGCAAGGTCCCCTTAGGCCAGTCCAGCTCAACTCTGCCTCGCATCAGACCCGTCAGGAGAAGCTAGAGGGCGGTGTGGTGGGAGGAGGGAGGGGAAGAGTACCAGCAAACACAGAAGGAGAGACTGCGTGGCCCAGGAGGGAAGCAGCAAAGAAACGCAGCACAGCTGAAGACCTAATCCATCCCGCGTCCAAACCAACTCCTCTTCTCCCGGTCTGTGCAGCCCAGACCACGTGCGTGGACGTTACCTGAGGACCTCAGAGTAGCCCTTGGCGGCAGCCACGTGGAGGGCAGTGGCCCCTGAGCGCGCCTGCCTCACATCCTGTATCTTCCCGCTGTTGAGCCACTGGCGGGCGTCCTGCAGCATCTGCTGTTCCTCTGCCTTCCTCGACTGCTCGAGATCGACCCCTGCAGAAACCAGATCCAGAGAGCCCGCACCATCAAAGGTCCCTTAGATTCAAAATACGTCCTAAATACAACCACTAACGGCAGTTTAGCCATCAAGTGGGGTCGTCTTCAGATTTCTCTTCATTTAGAAGAGTCATGACATTTACAGACTCATCAGTAGTTTTATTAGGGTTAAATCACCAGGTTCAATAGTACTTGATGGCAGATCCATTGAGGGACCATACTTAACAGTGTTTTCAATTTTAAGAACATAAAAACCAAAGGGAATATTATTTTATATTATAGCATTTGTACAAGGTACACATTTCAAAGTCCTTTTACATGTTATACCATTTTAGCTTCCCCACAATCCTCTGAGGTAAATATAATAGATACTGCTATCCCCACTTAACAGATGAGGAAATAAACATACAAAGGTCACGTGCCACACTCAAGGCCACAGAACACATCAGAGCTGTCACCAGAACGCTGATATCCTAGGTCCCCGTCTTCTCCTCTTTTCCACTCACTACACCTTAGGATTGGTATCAAAAATCTTAGTTTCAGGTATAATATACTTTAAAAAATTAACTACCTCTGAAGTTCATTTCCCTGCGTAGGGAAATACACTGACTGAAGCTATATGCCCTAGAGCCGAGGAGTAGGTGATGCACAGTGAAACTTCCAAGGGAATGTGGATTTTGTTTCCCTTTAAAACATTATGGAGGAAATCCCAGGGTGCCTCCCTTTAGCCAACAACTCTCTAACCTCTGTGTCAGTGAAAAGGAGCTGGGGTGGGGTATTCCCTGTTGCATAAAATAATGACCTGTTCCTAGGACAAACACACCCGCCCAAGGAGTCTCACACCCATTGGCAGGCTTTACCTGTGCAGGGTCTGCTCCCCTCCCTCTCAGTTCTTGAATGGGACCCTGGGAACTACCTGAGGATTATCTGTCTGATTTGAGGAGATGGATGGGGGGAAAAAGTAACTGATTTATTTTATTTCTCCTTTTTTTTTTTTTACAGCTTTATTGAGATTTAATTGACATATAACTTCGTATAAGTTAAAGGTGTACAACACCTATATACTGCATGATTACCACAGCAGTTATTAAATACCTCCATCACCTCACATAATTACCATTTCTTTTTTGTGGTGAGAACATTTAAGATCTCTTAGCAACTTTCCAGTATATAATACAGTATTGTTAACTATGGTCACCTGCTGTACATTAGATGCCCAGAACGTGTCCATCTTCTAACTGGAAGTTTGTGCCCTTTGACCAACATCTCCCCCACTCCCCAGCCCTTGCAAACCACCTTTCTGCTGTTTCTATGAGTTCTGCATTTTTAGATTCCACATACCAGCAATATCATACAGTTATCTGTCTTTCTCTGTCTGACTTATTTCACTTAGCATGATGCCCTCAAGGTCCATGCATGTTATCATATATGGCAGGACTTCCTTCTTTCTTGTGGCTGAATACTATTCTATTAGCTACAGTATAAATAGATATATATACACATACCACGTCTTCTTCATCCATTCATGCATACACTGACACTCAGGTTGTTTCCTATCTCGGCTACTGTGAATGCTGCTGCATTGAACACGGCAGTGCAGATATCTCTTTGAAATTCTGATTTCATTTCCTTTGAATATACACTCAGAAGTGGAAATGCTGGATCATATGGTAGTTCTATTTTTAATTTTTTAAGGACCCTCCATACAGTTTTCCACAGTGGCTGCACCGATTTACATTCCCACCAGCAGTGTGGGAGGGCTCCCTTTTCTCCACACCCTCGCCAACGCTTGTTATTTCTTGTCTTTTTTTTTTTTTTTTTTTTTTTGGGTTTGCGGGCCTCTGGCTGCTGTGGCCTCTCCCGTTGCGGAGCACAGGCTCCGGACGCGCAGGCTCAGCGGCCATGGCTCACGGCCCCAGCCGCTCCGCGGCATGTGGGATCCTCCCGGACCGGGGCACGAACCCGTGTCCCCTGCATTGGCAGGTGGACTCTCAACCACTGCGCCAGCAGGGAAGCCCTATTCCTTGTCTTTCTGATAATAGCCATTCTGACAGGTGTGAGGTGATAGCTCAATAAGGTTTTGAGTTGGACTTCTCTGATGATTAGTGATGTTGAGCATCTTTTCATGTGCCTGTTGGCCATTAAATGTATGTCTTCTTTGGAAAAATTTCTATTCAGCTCTTCTGCTTTTTTAATTGGATTGTTTGTTTTTTTGCTATTGAGTTGTATGAGTTCCCTATATATTTTGGATATTGACCTCTTATCAGATATGTGACTTGCAAATATTTTCTCCCATTCCATAGGTTGCCTTTTCATTGTGTTGATTGTTCCTTTTGCTGTGCAGAAGTTTTTAGTTTGATGTAGAGCCACTTATTTATTTTTGCTTTTGTTCCTTGTGCTTTTGGTGTAATATCCAAAAAAATCATTGTCAAGACCAACGTCAAGAAGGTTTTCTCATAGGAGTTTCATAGTTTCAGGACTTAACTTGACTCCATTTTGAGTTAATTTTTGTGAGCGTGAAAATAAGGGTCCAATGTCCTTCTTCTGCATGTGATTATCCAGTTTTCCCAACACCATTTATTGAAGAGACTATCTTTTTCCCATCGAGTCTTCCTGGCTCTCTTGTTCAAATATTAGTTGACCGTATATGTGAGGGCTTGTTTCTGGGCTCTGCAGTCTGTTCCATTGGTCTATGTGTCTACTTTTCTGCCAGTACCATACTGTTTTGATTACTATAGTTTGTAATCAGGAAATGTGACGCCTCCAGCTTTGCCTTCTTTCTTTGGCTATTCAGGGTCTTTTGTGATACCAAGTTTTAGGATTGTTTTTTCTATTTCTGCGAAAAATGCCATAGGAATTTTGATAGAAATTGCATTGAATCTATATACGGCTTTGGGTTGTATGAATGTTTTAACCATATTAATTCTTCCAATCCATGAACATAGGATATCTTTCCATTTGTGTCTTCTTCAGTTTCTTTCATCAGAGTCTTACAGTTTTCAGCATACAGATCTTTCACCTCCTTAAATTTATTCCTAAGTATTTTATTGTTTTTGATGCCATTGTAAATGGGAATATATTTTTTACTTCTTTTTCAGATAGGTTGTTATTATTGTATAGAAACGCAACTGATTTCTGTATACTGATTTTGTATTCTACAACTTTACCAAATTTGTTGATTAATTCTAACAGTGTTTTGTTTGAGTCTTTAGGATTTTCTATACATGAGATCATATCATCTGTAAACAAAGACACCTTTACTCCTTGCTTTCGGATTTGGACGCCTTTTATTTCTTTTTCTTGCCTGGATAGGACTTCCAGTACTATGTTGAATAGGAGTGGTGAGAGTGGGCACCCTTGTCTTATTCCTGATCTTAGAGGAAAAGCTTTCAACCTTTCACCACTGAGTATAATGTTAACTGTGGGCTTGTCGTACATGGCCTTTATTATGTTGAGGGACATGCCTCCTACAATCAGTTTGTTGAGAATTTTTATCACGAAAGGATGTTGTATTTTGTCAAATGCTTTTCCTGCATCTGTTGAGATGATCATATAATTTTTATCTTTCATTCTACTAATTGGTATATCACTTTTATAGATTTGCATATGTTGAGCCATCCTTGCATCCCAGGGATAAATCCCATTTGATCATGGTATGTGATCCTTTTACTGTGCTGCTAAATTCAGGTTGCTAATATTGTGTTGAGAATCTTTGCATCTATATTCATTGGGAATACTGGCCTAGAGTTTTCCTTTCCTGTAGTGTACCTATCTGGCTTTGTTATCAGGGTAATGCTGGTCTTGTAAAAAGAGTTTGAAAGTGTTCTTTCCATTTCAATTTTTGGGGAAGAGTTTGAGAAGGACTGGTATTAATTCTTCTTTAAATGTTTGGTAGTATTCACCAGGGAAACCATCTGGTCCTGGGTTTTTCTTGTTGTTTGATGACTGATTCAATCTCCTTATTTGTTATTGATCCATTCAGATTTTCTATTTCTTCCTGATTCAGTCTTGGTAAGTTGCACATTTCTGAGGATTTACCCGTTTCTTCTAGGTTATCCAATTTGTTTGCACACAATTGTTCACAGTAATCTCTTATGATCCTGTGTATTTCTATGGTATCTGTTGTAATGTCTTCTTCATTCCTCATTTTATTTGAGTCTTCTTTCTTTTTCTTAGTCTAGCTAAAGGTTTGTCAATTTGCTTATTTTTTCAAAAAACATAAAAGCTCTTAGTTTCATTCATATTTTCTATTGTTTTTCTGGTCTCTTATTTCAATTATTTCTGCTCTGATCTTTGTCATTTTCTTCCTTCTGTGAACTTTGGGCTTAACTTGTCCTTCTTTTTCTAGTTCCTAGAGGTGTAAAGTTAGGTTATTTGAGATCTTTCTTTTTTCCTAAAGCATGCATTTATCGCTATAAACTTCCCTCTTAGAACTGCTTTTGCTACCTCCCACAAGTTTTGGTATGTTGTGCTTCATTTTCGTTTGTTTCAAGATATTTTTGGATTTTTCTTTTGGTTTCTTCTTTGACCCACTGGTTGTTCAGTAGCATGCTGTTTAATCTCCACAGTCTGTGAATTTTCCAGTTTTCCTCCTGCTATTGATTTCTAGTTTCATACCACTGTGGTCAGAAAATACACTTGGTATGATTTCTGTCTTCTTAAATTTGCCAAGACGTGTATTGTGGCCTGTCATATGACCTATCCTGGAGAATGTTCTGTGTGCCCTTGGCAAGGATGTTTGTTCTGCTGTTGGATGGAATGTTCTGTATGTCTACTCGGTCCATTTGGTCTAAAGGATAGTTTAAGTCCAGCGTTTCTTTGTTGATTTTCTGCCTGGATGATCTATCCATTGTTGAAAGCAGGATACTATCATTGTATTATTGCCTATTTCCCCCTTCAGCTCTGTCAGTATCTGCTTAATATATTTAGGTGTTCCGATGCTGGGTGCACATGTATTGTATTCACAATTATTACATCCTCTCGATGAACTGAAAGGGGTATAACTGATCTGGAACAGACCAGAATTCCACACACAAAGAGTTAACAGTGCTGCAAAGGTAAGCATACATATGAATGCCTCTTCTAACAGAGTATACTCCTTAATGGAAGAGTCAGAAATTAAAATCAAAACTACTATTAAAAATCCAGTTTATTTTTAAAAAGTCATTTGTAAATTGTAACACCAATCTGAGGAGATAAGGCTGAGTGGGACTTGATGGTAAATTAGGCATAAAGTTCTTCATTTCAGTAGGACACAAAAACTATACACAGTATTCATACAAGTATTTTCTGCCCTAGAACATCATTATTTTAAGGCAGGGGTCAGCATACTTTCTATTTAAGGCCAGATATTAAATAAATGTTTTCAGCGTTGCAGGCCATTCGGTCTGTCACAGCTATTCAGCTCTGCTGTAGGAGTGCAAATGCAGCTTTGGATAACATGTGAGCAAACGGATATGGCCAGGACTGGCCCTGACTGTTCTAAAGCATCATGTCAGAAAAGGTCACTGGAGAGAAATCTTTTGGACTCAACTGCAGATCGTGGGTAAAGTGGTTTAACAGAAAGACTACACATCACTATAAACCATGTCCACAGAGTTTTGTGGTGGTTCTAGCAAACGCCCTAAGACCTGTCCTCCCTGCTATCTAACGAGTGTTATTTGCTATTTTTTTTAACTAAAAGAACCCAAAGACCTCCAGTAGCAGAATCCTGACCTATTCTCTGAAATGGATTCTTCTGAAAACATAAAATAAGTTCTTTCAGAGTTTATTCTTCTAAGTTAGCTTCCTTACCGTGACAAACTACCAAAATAATTTTCATGATTAGTATGGTTAAAGATCATTTCAGAGGTTGCAATAAATACCTCAACCAGCACCACTTTCAGCTCTCATCAAGAGAAAAGATGCAAAGTCATAAGCAGAGTTTGGCCAGTACTCAAAGGGACACTGTATCTCATCCTTTCTTTAGACTTCACAGTGTGGAGCAAAGTCCACACCGTGTACACAGAGTAAGACACGCTCATGCCCCTCCTCAGTCTAACCTGCATCATCAAACAACAGTCAGGTCGCCTGACTGCACAACGGGTACACAGCCCCAGAATGGCAAAAACAAGGAAGGACTGGCCCTCCTTTTGGCATCTGGCCTATTCTTGTGTGAGTATTAAGAGGGTATGTGATGTGGGTAATGATGACTAACACTGTGCGGGCAGACCCAACCTTCCTGTCGCACTACAGCTCGCGGCGCTGCACAGCAGAGCCTCACCTAGCCCCTAGCTTACCTTGCTTCTTCACTTGCTGCAGAAGAAGGTCCTTCACGGCAGGCTCTTCTGCGAGGTCAGAGGGGGCTTCCCCCTCACTGTTCACAACACCCACGCTGGCTCCGTGGCTAATGAAATACCTGTGCAGACAACACCCGGAATCAGGGTTCTCTCTCCAGTCTAACACCAGCTTACACCCCTATCCCTGGGGCTCAATGCAGAGCACGGCCTCTGTTCTGGAGTTTTTAATGTGGTCCCAGATAAGGTATTCCACTGTTAATTTCTAACTCCACTAGCCTTCGATAATCAGGATCAAAAGCTTCCCTATTTCTTGGTAAGAACAATGCCTACAAGCGGGATTTCCTTCACACTCATGTTCCTAACCCCCACCCTCTCATTCCCAGTGGACAGCAAGAGACTCTCTAAATATCACAAGGAAGACATGCAGCCCTAAAGCTCACCCACCATCCCTGGGGTCCAAACACAGGCTCCCAAAAGGACTTACTGCACCTGTAATATTGAGAATGAGAGTTCCCAGAAGACATGTAAAGAAGTAATTCTCACAGAAACTTTCCCAATGCCACATTAAGAGTATATTAAGTAGTGTTGGGGCATGAAAACAGAAAAATAAAGGATGAATTAAAATTTTCATCAATCTGCCTAAATTACGCCTTCATAGAACTCTCCCTTCAACCAGCCATGTATATGAAATCTACACTCTAAGAAGAAACTAAATTACTGAGGAAACAAATTGTTCTATTCTAAATGATTAAATTCTATATTGAAATATAATACTTGATCCTAAAGAAAAAAGGTCTGACAATTTTAATACCTTACATAGATCCTTTTTGATTTTCAAAGTACTTTCACGTGAAATTATGTAATGAGTCTTAAACAATCTTATGAAGTAGGCAAGGTGGGTACTATTAGGGGGCAAATGGCAGAGGTTATGCCCCAGTCTTCTGAATTCAAGTCTAGTTCACCTTGGCACTAAATCAAGTTACTATTGGACCAGTGAGGATCCCAATTATGCTGGGAGCTCTATCAAATATAAGTATTTAAAGGAGAAAGAAAAACTTTAAATTAAACTTCAACGAATCAACAATTCAGTAAGCATGTACTGGTCCCCTCCTGTGTTTAAAGGTACCGCATTTTAGACACTGTAGAAGATCTTAAGAGGATAATCAATGCATGGCCACTGTATTCAAGGAGGCAGAGGAGAATCAACAAAGATTACATCAAGACCACGTTTTTGCTTTCTCATTGCCTAGTACCTAGTACAAATAGAGCTTCAATAAATGTTTTTAACTTACAGATTGATTCCACATATATGAACTCATCTCATTTTCAGCTTTCTCCATCTTTCCCTCACAGACTCAGACAGACACAAACTCTTTCTCCTCCAAGGCTAACCTGCTCCATGTGTTTTCTTAACTGTACTGAGGCCCGGTCCTCTGTCCATCTGTTGCCCCTCATTTCCCTAATCAAGAGCTCCTCTCTTTTGGTTTCTCCCCTTCACGACAAAGAGGACGTTCAACTACACCTCCCCAACCCTGAAAAATCAAAATGCAAATAATATACACAGTAAGCACTCGATAAATGCTTTCTGGATGGAACTGTACCCTCTGCTCCAATCAAACTCAATGCCTCACTGAACCCAGACACACCCCACTGTCGCCCAGTCTCTCCCACAGATTGAGTAGTTTCTCCCAACTGATGAAACACCCTCCCCTTCTCCTTTCCCTGCTAGAAACTTTTCATATCTTTCAAGGTCCACTGAAAATGCGTTTGCCTGTTCTCACCAACCACACGTTCCCTCTCCTTCCGTGAACTCAGTCCTCCCCAGCACTAAGTCCGCGCTCCTGTCGTGACACACGCGGGTCTCGATGCAGCTGCCCCACCAGGCTGGAAGCTACTTCAGGGCAACAGCTGTGCCCTTCTCATGGCTATCACTGCCATGAGGTCTGACGTGCTCTTTTCTCTCTTGGCAACCCACAAATACTACGTGAAATAAATAAAACATCTTAGCCACTCTGCTCTGACATCCATTCCATTCTTTACTGGATCAGGCACAATGTCACTTGGGCACACAGGCCCCTGCTTTTTCCCTTTTCCGACAAGTTCTTAGACCCATGATCAGGAAGACTCATTTCTAGAAAGTAATCTGGTTCAGAAAGAGATTCTTCTTAAGTAAGGCTACCTTCCTAAACCATTTTAAGGTGAGGAGGAAACAGGAAAAACCTCTCTAGTTTCACACTTTTACCTGAACAAGAACCCATATCAACCTATGAGGTACGATTTTTTAAATTCATTATTATTTTTTTTATCTTTGGCCGCACCGTGCAGCATGTGGGATCTTAGTTCCCTGACCAGGGATCAAACCTGGGTCCCCGGGGGCTTCCCTGGTGGCGCAGCGGTTGAGAGTCCACCTGCCGATGCAGGGGACACGGGTTCGTGCCCCGGTCCGGGAAGATCCCACATGCCGTGGAGCGGCTGGGCCCATGAGCCATGGCCACTGAGCCTGCGCGTCCGGAGCTGTGCTCCGCAACGGGAGAGGCCACAGCAGTGAGAGGCCCGCGTACCGCAAAAAAAAAAAAAAAAAAAAAAAAAAGATACGAAAAGAAAAATGACAAAATGATCAAATGCTAATCGTATCTGAAACACTGTTCAGAGGCCCTGAGGTGAGCCAACCAAAATGAGTAGCATAAGCAATGGGCTTCTTTCGTTGTCCAGAAAATGCTGCTGCACAGGTGAGTATGTAAGGATGGTCAAGTGGATACCATCTAAGGGTGACGCACAGCAGAAGGTAAGGAGGGCCTTTCCCACCACCCCACCACAAAGGGGGTCTGGTCCAGCTCATCTTTCCTGGCCAGACTTTCAGGTCTGACTACTAATCACCTGTATGAGGAAACAGTAACTCTCACCAATTCATTTCACTCAAGGTAATATTTATTTGGGCAAGAGACACTTAAATTGTGAACTTATTTCCAAAGGAACTATGTTCACCCACAAAGATGAGATAAAGAAACCACCGTGAAAAAGCATTTACAATCATCCTCTGTACTCAGCTTCACAGAAGGAAGAAAAAAGAGCCTCCATGGATTACGCCAGCACGAGGGGCCCTAATTCCAAGCGTGAGCTCTGCCTGTTACCTTCCAATGGAGAAAAGTGAAATCCTTGAATTGATGAGATTTGATAGCTCAAAATCACAAACAAGCCACCTGAACAAATAATCAAATATCAATGATGAGGGACTAACATGTTCTATAAATGTTTCTTAGATACAGTTTTCAAGTGAAAATGGTGACCTCTGAGGAAGCCACCTTAAGTCCTCAGCATCGGAACGCTGGTGAATGGGTTAGGCTGAGGATCAGAGCCCTCCCGTGAGACCCTGCAAAGGGGCAGCCCGGCGAGAGGAGGCGACTGATTCACGGAACCAGAACGGAGACAGGATAAAATCGCACTGCTGACTCCTGCTGGCGGTGGGCCAGTCCAGCCACCTGCTTTTTAGAACAAGAAGCCCAGTCAACACCAGTGCTTCGGCCTGATCTTTCTCTGGCTCTGACCCTGCCGTTGTCTGACTTCCCCCACTGGGCACCCTCCCCCAGGACACCCGGGCAAAGTAGTTTCTGTGGGAGGCCATTCCCAGGCCTCTGCAGAGCTGTTTGCTGAACAGATGAAATGTAACGGAGCTCTAATCCTACTGAAAGGGGCCTTAAGACAAGCAACTGCATCTTCAAAGGACCACAGCATATCATGATTTTATTTAGAGAACTTGCCTTAGCAATCTACACTTACTCTCATGTAGAATACACTCAATTGCCTCATTTTAAAGATGTTTTAAGTGCCAACGTCTCTTTCTATTTAAAAATAACCTCCCTGACCACTCCTTCATTCAACAGACATCTACTTAGTGCCCCTTCCAGCCCAGACACTATGTGGTTGGGATTCTTCTGCCCAGGGAGGGGCCCCGGCTGTGCTGGAGGCTGGTCTCAATGAGGGCTGGGCTGGGGGTGGGGGGGTGTGCGTGCCCCTCCCACCCTTCCTTTGCTCAGATGCTTGGCTCTCACTCTTCTGCTATTACCTACGTGAATTCTGTGACCAGCAGCCAGGCATTCTTCACCTTCATTTGTATTAAGCACTGCTTTTTTTTAAAAAAAACAATAAAACAGGTTTACAAAAAAGTCCAGAAAAATTCTCCAGGCCTGCCCACATGTGTCCAGCTATAGTTGCTCAAAAAGTCAACCCAGGGCTTCCCTGGTGGCGCAGTGGTTGAGAGTCCACCTGCCGATGCAGGGGACGCGGGTTCGTACCCCGGTCCGGGAAGATCCCACATGCCGCAGAGCGGCTGCGCCCGTGAGCCATGGCCACTGAGCCTGCGCGTCCGGAGCCTGCGCTCCGCAACGGGAGAGGCCACAGCAGTGAGAGGCCCGCGTACCGCAAAAAAAAAAAAAAAAAAAGTCAACCCAGACAGTGCAACAGACAGAAGCCACCTCTGCATATCCCAACAAATATGAATTACCTGAAAATAGAAGCAAACACAAAATTTCAACTAAAAAAACTATAGATTTAGCAGCTATGTAAAACACAGCATCAATTATTCCTTAAAAATAATTCAATTTCCTGCTTTTATAATTTGCAGTAAAGAGAAATTACTACTATTTATGAAATTCAAATCCTTCAGAGTGACAGAGGAACGAAGGCTGTCCCACAAGCGCCCCACCGGCACAGACACTCACTCCGCGATGTTGAGGTGGCCACAGGACGCTGCTGCGTGGAGGGGCGTCCAGCCCTCGCTGTCCTGCTGGTTCACACTGGCTCCGTTCTCCACCAGAAACTTCACCATGTCCACATTTTCATCAATACAAGCCTGAAAAGAAAAGTCCATCCATTTACTCAGCAAGTACTTACTGAGCTCTGCACCACGCCAGACACTGCTCTGGGCACGGACAATGCAGCAGCGCTGATGAAATATTAATTTCCATTTCTTGCATCCTGACGCAAGTGTCCAGAATGTGACTTCTCAGCTTTGTGATCTTATGCAAATCCCTGAATTCTTCCCATGCCTCAGTATCTCAGCTGTGAAACAGGCATAATGATATTTAATCTTACTTATAGTGCTGTTAGGGTTAAACGAGGAAAGTGACTTCTAAAACTATAAATGGGTGAGCTGTTTCATCATTATAAAAATAGAGGGAATGTTAGGAACCACTAATTTGCCCATGAATTTTAAAGGAAAATAGTCACATAGGATCAAATGCAACTTTCTCAGTGGGAAGTTGCAGTTTATCTTCTAGGGTTGCTAAACTATCCCCACTTCGGTGAGAAAGGGTGCAGTGATCCTTCAAACAGAAGAAATGTATTTTCTTTTCACGTATCTTCTGAATAGCCGCAGACAATAAGGCAAAGTATGTTTGCAGTTGTGATTGGCTAGACATCCTTAGCTGCCCAACTCACAGCAACAACGAGGAGAAGGCAGAGAGGCTTTCTGAATAAAGCCTTCCGGCCTACCAGAAGCCCAAAAGGAACAGTCACAAACAGCAGTGAGGCCTGCCAAGACCCAAAGGCCATCTAGACTATCGACAGAGTAAAAGGAGGCAAAACACCCACACCGGTAAGAGTGACCATCATCAAGGCTTAGGTGGATCCAAAATAGCTGAGACAATTCAGGACCAGAAACAAACGAGATTCCTCTTTCTAAAACTTGTCTCTTAACCCCCTTCTTTTCAAAAAGAACAAAGGTTTAAAGCTTTAGCTGAGAAACAATTATCTGGATCAAAATGATTTTTTTTTTTTTTTTTTTTGCGGTATGCGGGCCTCTCACTCTTGTGGCCTCTCCCGTTGCGGAGCACAGGCTCCGGACGCGCAGGCTCAGTGGCCATGGCTCATGGGCCCAGCCGCTCCACGGCATGTGGGATCTTCCCGGACCGGGGCACGAAACCGCGTCCCCTGCATCGGCAGGCGGACTCTCAACCACTGCGCCACCAGGGAAGCCCCAAAATGATTTTTATAATGATATTAATACATGATTTGCCTTTTCTGCTGCGTTGACATTTGCACTAACAATGCAAAGACATGGTGGGGAGAACTCCTGGAGCCTTTGCACAAGTCAAGGGACGCACCAGAAGGTGCGGGTGCTGACTGTACTCTTCCTGGCCACATGCTCTCAAGCAAAACAAAACCCAGAAAGGCCAGTTTCACTCAAGAGTGACCTTGATGAAGCAGTAAACATTATTAATTTTATTAGACTGTAAGTGTTCGTAATACTCTGTGTGACAAAACAGCAGGCACACATAAAGCCCTTCTCCATGGAACAAAGCACAGCACCCTCTCTAAGCAAAAAGCTCCTGCGCATCTGTTTGAGTTGCAAGATCGACGAGCAGCTTTTCCACAGATGCTGTTTTTCCTCAAAAGAGCAACCGACAGGTAAGTTACAATGATTAAGACTTGAAAACGAACAAGGTGAGCCCGTCACTTCAAAGAAAAAAACCTAATATTTGTTGCCAATGATAAAATTTGACCATCCAATTAAAATCAGAATTTTGGGAAACATACCCACTACCATGAGCTTGACAGCTTCCTAATACTCGGTTTTCTGATGCGGTCAATGGGATTATCAACAAATGTGGTCTTTTGATATTATAGACTGAATCGTATTAACATCTGGAAGATGTGCATAACGCAATGAACCCATATTTTCCATATAATCAGATGCATGGTGTGAGAAAATCATGCATGGGTAAAAGATTCATTCAAAATACAAGTTAGACCACTGGATTTTAATATCTCAAAGTAAGAAAAGTCCACTGACATGGTTTCAGATTCCACACTGCAACTAACATTTAAGAAACTACTATATACTTACTGGCATTTTAGTATACTGCCAAGAAGAATACCCATAGTTGTCTGGACAGACTATTAAAATATTCCTCCCTTTTCCAAATAGACATCCATGTGAAGCCAGATGTCCTTTATATACTTTAATCAAAACAATGTATCATACACAAGGCTGAATGCAGACACTAAGAGATTTGTAAAAATGTAAAACAATGCCACTCTTCTCATGCCACCATGTCAGTGGACTTTTCTTACTTTGCTTTTGTTTTTGAAAGTATATAGCTCTTTCCAATTAAAATATGTGATTTATATGAACATGTAATGGGTTATTGCTATTTTAAATGAATTAATAATAATATTAATAATATTTTCAAGATTTTTCAGTAATATATAATAATACTTATGAACGAAAGCTCTTTGGGGTCCTGAGTAAGTTTTTAGCGTGTACAGCATTCCTTAGATGAAACAGTTTGAGAACTGATGTCTTCAGTGAAATATACCAAGGGATATTTTATGGTGATAATGAGCGACAGTTTAAACAGCAAAAGGTTTTACTGTGGGAAGAATTCAGGCCAGAATTCAGAGGGTAACTACTACACTTAAGAAGCACCTATCCTACCAAGAGGACTTCAGGAAACCCCTCCAGATAAACCGCGTGTCAATCCCGCTTAGAAACAAAGGATGGATGATGAAAAGCGGTTGAGTCAATCTAGAGGATATTTAATTAGGCGACCTCGGTTACAAAATGACATCTTCACCCATTTCCCCCAAACCATTTGATACTCTTTTTACGATTAGTGAGATTAGCTAAACATCTCAACCTAGATTTGATTTGATGTCATATAATATATTCCTCCAACCTGATCTTTTGAGGCCAGACGACTTTTATAGCCAGTATTCACGACAGTCTCTTTTTCAACAAGCAGCTCCAAAAATTACATTTCTTCTATGATGTTTTCTTAGGTTGATCAGTTGCGACAAGCTTTCCCCATTTATACTTCTTTACCAGGTAAAATATTTCATAACTATTCATAACATTATAAACTATTTCATAATTATGATTATCACTAAATCTCTCATATACTGTATGTCTGCCAGTCTATAATCCCACCGGGCAAGATTTAACCAACCCCTTGCAGAGTACCTCACTAAAAACTATTAACACTTTAACTGTGAGGATGGAAGAGGGCATTTAAAAAAAAATTTTTTTTTAATTAATTTATTTTTGGTTGTGTTGGGTCTTCGCTGCTGTGCGCGGGCTTTCGCTAGTCGTGTCAAGTGGTGGCTACTCTTCGTTGTGGTGCGTGGGCTTCTTATTGCAGTGGCTTCTCTTGTTGCGGAGCACGGGTTCTAGGTGCCCGGGCTTCAGTAGTTGTGGCTCGTGGGCTCTAGAGCGCAGGCTCAGTAGTTGTGGTGCACGGGCTTAGCTGCTCCGCAGCATGTGGGATCTTCCCGGACCAGGGATCGAACCCGTTTCCCCTGTACTGGCAGGCAGATTCTTAACCACTGCACCACCAGGGAAGTCCGAGGGCACTTTTCAAAAAGGTGCTAAAGTCCAAGGAGAAGAAAGTGTTTTAGAGGGTAAGTACTCTCTCTGCCCATGTAGTCATAAACTCCTGTGTCAGGAAGGTCAAATATGCCATCTTGACCTGACTGCTCCGCGCTTGGCTGCAAATGTATTTGGCTCTGAAAGAACAGCCTGAACACTTAGCCAATGGCCACACCACCTCTAGGCAGGAGCTTGGAAGCCAGTGTTTGCAAGACGATTCTTCACCCTTTGCGGATGATGGCATCCAAATTCCTCCCCTCTTACGTAATAACCCCAGCTGGTCCAGGTATCAAACAGGAGGAAACCTGTCTTTTCCCTTTCCTCCCCTCTTACGTATTAACCCCAGCTGGTCCAGGTATCAAACAGGAGGAAACGTGTCTTGTCTCTTTCCTCCCCTCTTATGTATCTCCCTTCCTTTTCTTAATCTCCTTCACCCATCATAACTTTAGTTCTCTTCCTTTTCAGTTTCATAATTTCTGTCTATGAATCTTGAATCCTTGATACAGTATTTTTATAAGCATGACACTGTGAGGATGTCCGAGACAATAACAACAAAAAGCTGGCCTAATCTGTGACGTAATCTGACAAAGCATCAATCTCCAAAGAATCACTTCAGAGAAAATAAAGCAGGACAACTGTTAGGTGATTCCCAACACCCTCCACAGAGTGCAGGACAGTGTATCGTGAGAAGCATGAGCTTTGGAGCCAGGCGGACCTGGGCTCGTGCCCCAGCCCTGCCAGCGCGCAGAGTCTTGAGCGAGGATACAACCTGAGCGCCAGTGGCTCACCTGGAGCACGGGAATGCTACCCACCCCGCAGGCCTTAGTGAGGGTGTAGGAGATGAGCCCTTGGCAGAGCGCGTGGCACTGCTGTTGTCAAGCCCACTGCCCTCCAGCTCCAGTGCCCTTTGGGAGGAAGGCAGCTCGGTTACAAACGTCTTTGAACGAGCAAGGTTGGGAGCCTGTTTGTTAATCTGCCTTCAGGAAATTCCCTCTAGGGCTCAGGATCCTGCGGGTTCCTAAGGTCAGGAGCCATAGGACTCAAACAGTACGTCCACAGTTAACTAAAGAGGATCGTCGTCGGGCAGACCAGCCAACAAATTTGTAGGACAGTCACTCTCATGACATATCTTGGAGTGACCGTTCTCTGTTCTTTGTTTTTGTTTTTTCCCCTCCAGAAGAAAGAATATGACTAAAGTCATGGAGGAGAGACAAACAGTCCCTGAAAACCTTCTCAACTAAACAATGACTAAATTTAGACGCCCTCTGCCCACTCCGTCTGCAGCTGTGCTGCTGACTCATGGGGACTAGGCCGGCAGGATGAGCAGACTCGCCATCTACGAAAGCCGCGCCCAGGGCCGTGGCCCCCAACGCTGCGCCTCCACACAGGGCTGCGTGAGCCTTCCCCATACACAGGTCTTTCCTTTTCTTGAACAGGCAAAGAAGGCTAAACAGCTTTCTGCTGTTACTTTTGACATCAGCGGG